AAATATTTAAATAAAATAATTATTAAATTTTATGAGAAATCTAAATCATTACTTTCTCAGTTCTTAAACAAAGAATTTTCATTTTTAAGATATTTACTATAATGATGAATTGAAATTTAAAAGGGCTTTAAAAGTAAAATTTGAACCCAATTCATTAAAAACTAAACATAATGCAAAATTGGAATATTTTTTTTTAGGTACTGTGATAGTTAAGGTGGATTATCAATTTGATTGGCTTAGGAGCCACTGAAGCAATTAGTTAAGCCCACTTCTGGCTCTATCTGGGTGGGTCAGGGAGGTGTGACCTTAAATGTCTATCTGGCCCCTTGCTTCTTCCCCTCTGCTGCTGTTCCCCGCTCTGCTTCCCTGATTGTCTTGAACTGAGTGGCTTTGCTCCAGCACACAAATGGATGTTTTTCACCTAGATGTTTTTGTCTTGGAGCCAGCTTACCATGGACTGAATTCTCTGAAACCCAAGGAAAACAAATAATTTCCTCCTTTAGTTGTGAGTGTCAGGTATTTGGTTCCAGCTACAGGAAAGCTGGCTAATAAAGGTACATTATTTGAAAGTTTGTTTTTTTCTTTTCATTTTAAACAAAAGACACATGATTTAAAGGGAAAGCCATCTAGGATTTTTTTTTACAAAGTAATTTGCTCCTACTTAAAGGCAAACTGTAATATCTACACACAAAAAAGTTATAAAATTATCCTTGGTTTTATAATGATAAATAAAACTATTAAAATTCTCCAATCAAATGAGGTATGTAAAGCTTTTTATGTTATTGTCTTATTTTTGTTAGAAAAGTGAGAGCAAAATAACCTACTAGAATATATTGATAAGAGCTGATTGAGCATGACATTAATGAAGAAAGGGAATTATTTTCACAGAACAAATATGTTCCTCATCCACCACTAAATAAACCAATGATGAGATTTAAACATTGATTTGTATACCTCTCTGAAATTATTTTTTCAGACAAAATTATTATCAAATTATGTATTTTACCTTAAAATAACTATAAAATATAATTTTAATATAGTTGGGTGTTTAACTTCTAATATAATTTAGATATTAGGCAATTTGATTATACAAATTTGAGAGTGTGAAGAAATAGGTCCAGTTCAAAGATTGAGGTTTAAGCTTAAA